GTGCACTCTGCTCTCCACCTCCCCTCATACCTCTTTAGCCTTTTGCTTCAGACGCAGCTGTTCAGGATCCTCCTGTCGAGCTCGAGACTGAAAAGCCAAAATGAAATTACATGATTAAATACAACCTCAAATACACAACTACTGRCATATTACAGTGTCGTTGTCCATCTGGACCAAATACACACAGAAGTAGTGTACTGTATGTATATTGTTACAAAAATGTAACAGAAGAAATGGAAGAAGAAAAAGAAACATCTAATGCCGGCTAAAGTCTTGTTTTTATGACTTTAACAGATGTTCCGTCTTATTCTCTAATGATTATATTTCTTGTTATTACATAAAAAAATAAAAGTCATTATGTTGTCTGACAGAGATGTTGTACCTTAGCTGCCTTCAGGAGGATTTCTCTCTCCTGCTCCTCCTTGCGCTGCTTCTCTAACTGGTCCAGCTGCTCAAAGAACTTCAGCTGAGCTCGAACGTCACTGATCTGCTCGTAGTTGTCATCCTCCTGCCAACAAGCACTTTTATTACAATGTTTTCCCAGGAAACAAAGCATTATGAGAAATTAGTCAAGACAGAAAAAAAATATATGTAGCCATTCTGTAACCAAGCCCTGAGTGTAAAGCTTCTTATTTTATTGTTTATCTTAAAAAATCCAGCTACAGGATTTATGCAGAAATCATCCATCCATTATCTATACCCGCTTCTTCCTTTCAGGGTTATGGGGGGTCACTGGTGCCCATATCCAGCAGAAACTGTGTGGGGGGYGGGGTACAATCTGGACAGGTCTCAAGTCCATCACAGGACCACATAGAGACAAATGAGAGACTCTCACTCACACCTAGGGACAATTTAGAGTTATCAGTTAACCTAAMAGTCATGTTTGTGGTCTGYGAGAGGAAACCAGCCAATCAAATGTAAAATGCCCGTTACATCACATAGTAAACACAAATCCATTAATAGAAAGGTAACATTAATAACATGTTGCAAACAATATATATATTTACAGTGCTGAGATGAAAAACTGTTTAGATAAATGCATGTGCAGTAACAGGAAGTGATGATAAAGATGATCAGACAATAGGGAAGAATCTGAGGTTTCTTTAGATTATTCTGAGTCACRATCAGAAAGAAGAAGAGCCAGAGTTCATTCAAACAAAGAGCAGGAAGTTCAACCTTTCTGAAGAGTTTTTGTCTTGGAAAAAATGGGTAAAATCACGTGTATTATGTCAAATTTAATTAATATTAAGATGTCCTTTTCTTTCAATTTCTGTATTTAAAAGAATGTGAATCATTGGCACTTTAATGCTTTTTAATGCCAATTTTTACCTCGATTTTGACCTTCCAACAATCAACCCAATTATTGTGACGGATCTAAAGATGAGGGTTAAGAGTGATCTAGTCGGCTCTTAAGGACGTCGGACTGCTCCAACTTCAAATCGGGGATATTCAACCTGTTGGATTGTCTTGGCACAACATCCCAGTCTGTTGAATGTGACTTGCAGCCAATCAGAAAGAGAAGTGACRGAAGCAGAGTGTGTAATCTAGAATACAGAAGACAAAACAAACGCTGCGGAGCCCTGGGAAGTCAGGTGAACGTCTGAGTTGTCTATTTGTTTTAGTTTTTTCTCTGGTAAAAACAGTCTACAAACTATCATCATTGCTTCTTCCTCATCGTGAGACTTCCCATCTGGTATCTGAATGTTGCTGAGTGAAATCTGTTCACACAGTGTGTGGTGTGTCGCTGTACACCACACACTGTAGAACCAAACCTGTTTTATCTATGGGTTTTTATCATCACGTGTGGGGTTTCTCAGTCTTTGACAATGAACCAACAATTTTATAGTGTTGCCGTGTGAACCAGCCATAACAATTTTTATGCCATTAACAGTGAATGCATAAACTGTTGCTTTTATTTTTTGTTTTGTTTTACAGAAGATTAAATCATGTGCTTTAATTTGCAAGCTTTTCCTTTTATTATTAAAATACATTTACAATTTCCCTGAGGGAAAATCTCTGAGATTAATCAAGTTTCTATCTATCTATCTATCTATCTATCTATCTATCTATCTATCTATC